TAAAGGAATTCTATTGATTTATGTGTGTTTATTTTGTATCCTACTGCCTTGCTGAATTTGCTTATTCTAGGAATCTTTTTTGTGGAATTTTTGGGATTTTCTATGTCAATGATCCCATAGCCTTCAAATAAAGATAATTTGACTTCTTTCTCTCCTACAGCTACAGTGGTGCCTTGGTTCACAAGCTTAATTCTTTTCATGATTCTAGTCATGAACAAAATTGGATAAGAACTGAATCAAATTCAATGATTAGGTTTAATGCTGACCTCATGGGGAAATTTGATTTGATTCTTGTCCAATTCAGTTTGCAGGCAAAATCATGGAAAGAATTACATTCATGAATTGAGGTACCACTGTACTGTGTGCCTTTTATTTCTTTCTCTTACTGGATGGCTCTGGGCAATATTTCAGGGACTGCGTTGAATAGAATGGTAATAGTGAGCATCTTTCTCTTGTTCCTTTTTTTTTTTTTCTCTTCCTGATTTTAGAGGAAAAGCTTTCAGCTCTTCCCCATGTAATACGATGCCAGCGGTAGGTTTGTTATATATGGATTTTATCAGATTGAGATAAGGTCTTTCTATTTTCTTCAGGTTTTTATCATGAACTGATATTGCATTTTGTCAAAAGCTTTTTCTGTGTCGATGGAGTTGATCATGTGATATGCTACATTTGAAAATTTGCATATGTTGAGCTATCTTTATGTGTCTGGGATGAAGCCTACTTAGTTGTGATAAAAATTTTTTTAGAGAAAAATGACTTGCTACATAGCTAGAATCATAATTGATGAGCTGGGTATTGTAAAAAAAAAAATCCACTAGTGGAAGTAATAGCTTCAAATCCACGTAGGAAATTATCACCCTGCTTTGGGTTTATTCTAATACCCTATTCCACATACACTAAAAGAACAAAGGGCGGTTCTTAGGTTGCTGAGACACAAAGAAAACAGTTTGATAGGTTAGTTGAGCATGGTGCTGCATATCTATAATTCCAGCTACTCAGGAGGCTGAAGCAGAAGCATTGCAAGTTTGAGGCTGGTCTGGACAATTTAGCAAGAATATGTCTCAAGGGGCCAGGGAGATGGCTCAGTGGAATAAGCGCTTCCCTGGCAAGCGCAAGGGCCTGAGTTCAATCCCCGGTTCCGCAAAAAAAAAAAAAAAAGATTTTCACCATTAATGGCTTGCAGCTGAACATAAGTTATACATATATTAAAGGACTGTTTGTTCTGTTCACTTAAAACTCAGTAAATTAATCAATACAGAAT